CAAGAGACGGTTTGCTGAACAGAAACGACTCAGCAAAGTGCATCGGGCCATCAAGTTCAGCATTGAAGGCAACAGGATGCCCCTGTAGCCATGACACTCTGCCTTCTCCAAGGCTGAGAGGTATCCCTCAAGGGAGGGGTGAACAGTGCATGTGCTTCAGCTGTTGGCAGTTTGCACATAGAGAAAAAGAGTGTCTACACCCTAACTTAAACTTGGAAAAGTCTCCTCGTGTTTTCTTCTGTCTGTACTGTGACCTAAAAAGGAACTTGTACAGGAAAAAACAGGCTGTTGCAAATAGCATCTGCCATGGTACCTGTCTCGACAGCTTCAGGGTACCCAAACAACAGGCGTTAAATGAAAATACCTGTACTCAAAAATAGCTTTGCACCACTTGTGGGTTTGAATGCTCTTCTGACTTCACTGGGTTCTCCAGGTTTACCTGAACTGACACACAGGAATTTTTAGCCTTTAGTATGTGACCTCCTGTCATTCTTTACTAATACCTCTGGCTGATGTTTTACTGGTACAAAATAAACTATTTTCACACTTCTTCAAGAAGTTGAGCAATGTGCAACTGTAGAGGTAGTTGACAGGAGGCAGAGAATGAGCCCTCTGCAGGCTTGGGGGAGGAGAATCCCCTGTTGTGAATGTGCTGTGGAGGGAGATCAGTCATTGATACATCATTGTGGAATTGTGACAATTTCTAGTCTGCATTTCGGTTCTGTGAGCAGGGTTGCCACAAACCAATTGCGATAGGAAGAGGCTAGCACAAATAGTATTTAACGGTTGAGTTTAAGTTTCATATTTATTTGTTTAAAAATCTATTATTTTTTAAAGATAACTGAAATTCCAGATATAATTTCAATGAATAGTGGATAGTTTTATGAATAAAGTTCATTTAAAATAGATGTGTCAGGAGCACCTTCCTCAGTGATAGGAACAAGAGGTTCAGTTTCTAATAGATGTTCTTTGTTAGATACTAAGTAGCATGTTCCGGATATCTGTTTTCCCCAGACTTTAAAGGCATGAACTTTCCACCATTTATTGTTTCAGTTTTCTAGTTAGGGGAAATGGCTTTCTAGGAAGTAATGGGTATGGATTGGAAGGCCTTGCTGTTTGTCAGCAGCAGCATTTCTTTTCAGAATCACTGTATTTAATCTGTGCAAAATTGCTGTGTGATGACACTGCTGTGTCATCTGTTTTTTCATTTGCAGTTAAAAGGGCGATGAGATGCAGTAACTTTTAAGAACTTGTATGGTCATCTTGGGTGTTTGTTTTGCTTTTTCCTACACCCCCTTTTCCTGAATAATCTTTTGCTTTCTAATACTAATTGGTGCCCTTTTAAAATAAATGGCGGTTTGGAATTGATACGTCAGCTTGGAGCCCCTGTGTGTATCTCAACTTGTGCCCAGTTCCTGTGTGTATCTCAACACCTTCCCCCCCCGGAAGCCTGTATATGTGACACTGTAGTGCAGTGTATTTCTGACACTAAACCAGCCAACAGAGCTAGAATGTTCCAAACTGTATGTTCACGTGGCATGGGAACAACTAATACAGTTCTTAATCCCTGTACTCGGGAAGCTTTTCTGCACAATGTCAGTGAGCCTGGCTCCTTCCACATGTGTGGTGAAAATACTGCGGAGCCATTTTATCCACCTTGTAGGGAGAGGACATATGCACACATATAGCCCGCTGGAACCAGTGGCCTTACCAGCTCCCTGTTGTAGGTCTAACCTTGCATGCATCGCTTTTCTTGAACCTCTGGGGCGTCTGCTTTTTTTCAGTGGTAATTACTAGTTTTATTTTTTAAGTTCCAGGGGACCTCTAAGAAAGGGGTGAGTCGACTGGACAAACAGATGCGGAAATTCACAGATATCAGGAAAAAAAGCAGATCAGCCCATGCGGTGAAAATCAGCATTGAGGGCAATAAGATGCCTTTGTGACCCTTCACAGAATACCCCATGATCTCTGCTGTAAGACAATACACCCATAGACTCTTTGGAGACCTTTAAATTTTTTAACAACTCTTTTGGTTTTTTTTTAGCAAATCTCTGAATTGTTGCTTCAGGTTTTGGTGTAAGATGTTGTCCAAGGACTGTGAATATGGGGACTTCTTTCTCCTGATTGTATTTAAACAGATCTCGTATTTGTTGTATGGCAACACTTTAGACAATAAAACATCTTCTGTTTTTTGGGGGGCTGTCTTTTGATGAAGAGAATGTATGTGCAGACCACCTGGTATGTGGAAACGCTGCTAATTGTTCATCTTCTGTTTACCTGCATTTCCTCTTATTCAGTGTTTTATTAATCAGTTGTTCTGTCTTTGGCGATCTACATGTATTGGTGTTGATCAGAAATATCGACCATCTTCCACTCAAAGGATTTAATTTTTCATGAAAACTCAAGAGACCAGCAGACCAACCACTAACAATTCCACTGTGATGTAAGCCAGCCAGCAGGATGTCACTACTACTGATTCTTCACGTGGAGGGCAAAGCTTTGAGTGTCATCTGCTACTGCAGAACAGTGGGCTGCAGCTAAAGGTGATTCTGTGACATATGGTAGCATAGATTATTTTTAAAGTAAGCCAGACTTTGGAATCAAGGTTAGTGAGACTGCTCAGAAAGACCCAACCTCAGACTGCTGGATGCTTCTATTTTTGGGTGCTTCAAGCAGCACAAAGGCTGTGTGAAGTCTTTGCTTGACACCACTGTGACTTCCTTTTGTAAAGCTGAAAGCCACGTATATTTTTTCCTCTTGCTTTGCTTTGGTAGTTGGAGAGCTCAAATGTGTGTTGCTCTGGAGACCACTAGTGACTTTCTGAAAGGTTTCTTTTACCAGTGGTAAGCCGGAGGTCCATGTCTCTGTGTTAGGGGGATAATGCAGCTATTTCTTTATCCCTGATGCTACAGAAAGAGCAGAGCAACATTTTTTACCTCTGCTGCTTTGCCTCTACCTCTGAAAAGTTTCGTCTCCTGAGCTTGCCCAGGAGAGGAGGACTCTTCTTGTGTGGGTATCTGGAAGTTGGGATTTGAGTAAGAAAGTCTCCTTTGATCCAGAGGAGCACAGCCTGTTTGCTGTGGTTCCCTGCGTGTGCTCCTGTGATGCTGGAGGGGAGGGCAGCACAGGAACACTGTGCAGGGACCAGAACTCGAGGCAGGGACTGAAGGAGGAATCCTGTGCTGCATGGAGCCTGCTGAAGGAGTTCTGCTGGTAGGACTGCTGCACCTCCTCTTGCCAGGTAAGCTTATGACATAGCAGGTGACCTCAGCTGTGTTGTTACCATGCTGTGAGTTCCAAGGATTTGGGGTTTTTCCTATTTTTAATTAATTTATTAAAAGGATGGAATTTCTTACTGCCATATTGGCAAGTGCAATTATGTATAAAATAATGGTGTAGAGTGATGCCTGCCCAGGTTCTCTTTGGCCCTTAAGGGCTGTTGGTTAGGATGGGATGGCCTTTTTTTTCTTCTCCCCCTCCCCAACTTTTTTGTAGTTCTGGCACTGTGATCCTGTAATGCAGTCATGGGGGACTCTGGGCTATTTTTAAATCTTAAAAGATACTCCCTTAGGAACGTACTCCACCCTGGTGGCATTGTGCAGTCCTAACAGTTTCTTGCCATCAAAATATAATAGTTTGGCATTGCATGCTCTCTGAGGCAACCAAAAAGGTTCTGTTGCTTTTAGAATATTGATAATTGACTTCTCCAAGGCTTTGAACAAAGCTGAGGAAAAGAATAACTAGTTAGTGTGTTTTTTTTTAATTAAAGCTTAACAGTGAATTGAAAGAAAGGTCACAAAACCAAAAGGTCTTTTTACATGGGTTGCAAAGACCTGTAAATTGCAGCAGAAAAAAGCAGCAGAGAAAGATCACTGTACAAGGACAGGAGTGGAGATGCTCCAAGGGGATGATGGGTTGGGGGCTGTTACTCTGCCCCACAAGTACTGTGTTGCACCTGCATTTCTGGCACCAAGTGTTGCTTTTAGGTATGTGAAGCTTCTGATGACATGGGGACCTCACCCACTCAGGCTGGGTGTGCGTGGTCCGTCTTCCTGTGCTTTGAAGATGATGGAAAAGCTGTTTCTTGCTGTTTGGTGATTGTCTTTCTCCCCACCATGTGTTCACGAGTGTCTGAATTACTGGTTTTAATTAAATACTGGGAGAGGTAAATTCTGTATGTGAGGGGTAGGGGTGTGTCCACAATAAAGAAAAGGGTTTTCTTCCTACTGCTACATCAGCTCTCCGTGTTGTAGTTGCACTGGGGTAGGAGCACATAGCCCATCTTCACACCTTTCCTCCCCACCAGCAGAGCTGCCCCTTCTGTGTAGCTTTCCCTTTCCCACAGACCCCAGGAATCAATGTCTTTCAGAGTTCTACCACACAAACCTATTGTTTCTCCAGTCACAGTTGGGTGAGTTCCCTCTCAGGTGGATGATCCAGTGCAGTTTGTAACACACAAACATATGGATGCTGGTTTTGTATGGGAAAACACTTGTAACTAGTAAACCCAGTTGCACTTGAGGTAACAGTTGTAGTTGGTGACAAAACTTCATGGCCCCAACTGTGGTGTTCAGCACAGTCATCACTGCCAGAACGGCACCTCCTTCCCTGAGCAACTCAGTCATATAGAGGCATTTGCTGCTGTGGGGTGTGTGTGGGCTTGAGACATGGAAAGCTGTTTTTCTCCCTTTCTGCTAGAATTTACATTGAGAGGTTGTAGTTGTCTCCTTTGTCATCTGCAAAATGGTTCTTTATTGTACACAAGTGTTCTACTCAGTAATAATGAATGAGCAATTTAACAGGTTATGGTAAACAGACAAAACATGGGGGTTAGACTCGTTGATCTTCAGAGATCACTTCCACCACCTAACGTTTATGATTCTATGTACTCAAAAATTCTTGGAAGATTTTAATTTTGCATTGTTAAGGACAGGAACTGCAAAGTGTCATAAGAGTGAAACACTGTCATAATAGAATTGTCCCTGGTATTAATACCAGCTTTAAGAAAAGTTAATGGTAAAGTTTTCCAAATCTGCTATGCTTTCCACAATCTCTTTGATCCACGGGATGTAATTGGATACTCTTGTAAAGATACTATATTTTCCTTCTTCAGCACAGCCCTCACCCCAGCTTACAATCCCCAAGAGGAACCAGGTGTTGTAGGACATGGTGAAAGGGCCACCGCTGTCCCCTTTGCAGGCGGCTGCAGCGCCATAGCTGGTGCAGACCGTTGTCGGTGAGGAGGTGCAGGGTGAGCCCTGGCAGCTCTCCAGGCTCAGCAGGGGCAGCCACACGCTCATCAGGAGGTGCAGGGGGGAACCTTTGCTCATGCATGGAGCTCCAGCCACTCACCACCCCCGTGCGGCCCTCAGAGAGCAGGGTGGCCAGGGCAGGCAGATGGGGAGCACCTGCTCAGGTGCAACAAGGCAATGTCACCGTTGTAGTTATTTGAATCATAATGTGGATGTGTCCAGCTCAGCTCCACACCAACCACCTGCTCCTGGAATTCTCTCTGATACTTGTCAAAGTCTCCTGTATCCAGGACAAGGTCAACTGTTAGGCACACTGAAGAGCCTGTATGCTGTGGTCATGGGGGATGAGGAAGGACAGTGACTTGATGCTTTGACCTCTTGTCCCAGGAGGCACAGACCAAAACACATCCTGCTTTGTATCAGTAACTGCTGCTGCTGCAGCTGTAATCTTGCAACTCAAGTTTACCAGTTTGCCCTTTAAGGGCAAAACGAAGCTGTTGTTGACTAGATGAAGAGAGAAGCACACTGTCAATGCTTTTTGGTAAGCACTGTGTTTTGAACACTTTGTCAAAGCTTTGTGTCCCTCCCCTCAGGAGCATGACATAAGCATTAAGATGCAGCTGTAAGGCTGAAGAACTGTTTCTTGTCATTTATCACAGAACCACCAAGGCTGGAAAAGTCCTGTTGAGATCACCAAGACCAGCATATGACCAAACACCACCACATCATCCAGACCATGGCAGTAAGTGCCACATCCAGTCTTTCCTTTAACACATCCAGGAATGGTGCCTCCACCACTTGCCTGTGCAGTCCATTCCAATGTTTAATCCAGTGCCCTATTCTGTTTACTCTTTTCCTTGGCTCTTTTCTGGAGGT